GGGTTGACAAGGCTCAAAGCCTCTCTGAACCTCTTGGAATCCTCTTGAGGACCTCTTGAGAAGGAATTTCTTCTACCTATATGAAGGTGGTTGAGAAGGCTCAAAGCCTCTCTCAGCTTCTTGGAAGCCTCTTGAGGACCTCTTGAAAAGGAATTTCTTCTACCTATATGAAGGTGGCTGAAAAGGCTCAAAGCCTCTCTGAACCTCTTGAAAGCTTCTTGAAGACCTTTTGAGAAGGAAGTTATTCTACCTATATGAAGGGGGTTGAGAAGGCTCAAAGCCTCTCTCAGCCTCTTGAAAGCCTCTTGAGGACCTCTTGAGAAGGAATTTATTCTACCTATATGTCTCTGAACCTCTTGGAAGCCTCTTGAGGACCTCTTGAGAAGGAATTTATTCTACCTATATGAAGGTGGTTGAGAAGGCTCAAAGCCTCTCTGAGCCTCTTGAAAACTTCTTGAAGACCTCTTGAGAAGGAATTTATTCTACCTATATGAAGGGGGTTGAGAAGGCTCAAAGCCTCTCTCAGCCTCTTGAAAGCCTCTGGAGGACCTCTTGAGAAGGAATTTATTCTACCTATATGAAGGGGGTTGACAAGGCTCAAAGCCTCTCTGAACCTCTTGGAAGCCTCTTGAGGACCTCTTGAGAAGGAATTTCTTCTACCTATATGAAGGGGGTTGAGAAGGCTCAAAGCCTCTCTCAGCCTCTTGAAAGCTTCTTGAGGACCTCTTGAGAAGGAATTTATTCTACCTATATGAAGGGGGTTGAGAAGGCTCAAAGCCTTTCTGAACCTCTCGAAAGCCTCTTGAGGACCTCTTGAGAAGGAAGTTATTCTACCTATATGAAGGAGTTGAGAAGGCTCAAAGCCTCTCTGAGCCTCATGAAAGCCTCTTGAGGACCTCTTGAGAAGGAATTTATTCTACCTATATGAAGGGGGTTGAGAAGGCTCAAAGCTTCTCTGAGCCTCTTGAAAGCCTCTTGAGGACATCTTGAGAAGGAATTTAATCTACCTATATGAAGGGGGTTGAGAAGGCTTGAGGACCTCTTGAGAAGGAATTTATTCTACCTATATGAAGGGGGTTGAGAAGGCTCGAGAGAGGCTTCTTGAAAGCCTCTTGAGGACCTCTTGAGAAGGAATTTCTTCTACCTATATGAAGAGAAGAATATGAAGATGAGAAGGCTCAAAGCCTCTCTGAGCCTCTTGAAAGCTTCTTGAAGACCTCTTGAGAAGGAATTTTTTCTACCTATATGAAGGGGGTTGAGAAGGCTCAAAGCCTCTCTCAGCCTCTTGAAAGCCTCTGGAGGACCTCTTGAGAAGGAATTTATTCTACCTATATGAAGGGGGTTGACAAGGCTCAAAGCCTTTCTGAACCTCTTGGAAGCCTCTTGAGGACCTCTTGAGAAGGAATTTCTTCTACCTATATGAAGGGGGTTGAGAAGGCTCAAAGCCTCTCTCAGCCTCTTGAAAGCTTCTTGAGGACCTCTTGAGAAGGAATTTATTCTACCTATATGAAGGGGGTTGAGAAGGCTCAAAGCCTTTCTGAACCTCTCGAAAGCCTCTTGAGGACCTCTTGAGAAGGAAGTTATTCTACCTATATGAAGGAGTTGAGAAGGCTCAAAGCCTCTCTGAGCCTCATGAAAGCCTCTTGAGGACCTCTTGAGAAGGAATTTTTTCTACCTATATGAAGGGGGTTGAGAAGGCTCAAAGCTTCTCTGAGCCTCTTGAAAGCCTCTTGAGGACATCTTGAGGCTTGAGGACCTCTTGAGAAGGAACTTATTCTACCTATATGAAGGGGGTTGAGAAGGCTCGAGAGAGGCCTCTTGAAAGCCTCTTGAGGACCTTTAGAGAAGAATGTATTCTACCGAAATGAAGGGGGTTGAGAAGGCTCAAAGCTTCTCTGAGCCTCTTGAAAGCTTCTTGAGGACCTCTTGAGAAGGAATCTATTCTACTTATATGAAGGGGGTTGAGAAGGCTCAAAGCTTTTCTGAGCCTCTTGAAGGCCTCTTGAGGACCTCTTGAGAACGAATTTATTCTACCTAACTGAAGGGGCTTGAGAAGGCTCAAAGCCTCTCACAGCCTCTTGAAAGCCTCTTGAGGACTTCTTGAGAAGGAATTTAATCTACCTATATGAAGGGGGTTGAGAAGGCTGAAAGCCTCTCTGAGCCTCTTGAAAGCATCCCTGAGCCAAAGAGATCCAGCAGCCTGGAACCCAGCTCGATGTAGCGCGTGGAAGCCCAAAAGCTTTGAGCTCGCTCTTGTTCGACTTGACGAAGGTATTGAGATGTGCTTCCCCGTCCGGAACTCAGCTGTAACGTCATTTGCAGAATTTAAATGCTCCAACACATGCGATTGTCTTGCTTATTGGTGCGTCCACTGAGGCTCGAAGCTTTTCTGAGCCAATTGAAATGAATTTTATGTGCCAAAACAGCCCGACACTCGACCGCCCGAGCTGGCAAGACCAGTTTCTGCAGACCTGTGCAAAACCTGCTCCAACTCAAGCAGCGCCTGGATGAAAACGCAGGGTACCAAGCTCTGCGTTGCACTTGAGTACGTGAGCTGTGTGTTGCAGACGCAGAGTAGCATCAATGCCTTTCGCAGATACAAACACCTGTCAACACAAAGTCCTGAGGCCAGCAAGTCCTGGAGCTGTAGTGCAATTGCTGAGCGAGTACTGTCTGTCGCGTAGCAAGTTTCACAACCAGCCTGCCGTGTCACCAAACCTGGTGCTAAGGACGCAGTTACTGTGCTTAGATTCCCAGTACCGTCTGCCGGGAGGCAGGCGGGAAGAGATTCGCAGCCAGTCTGCTGTGCTTAGATTCTCAGTACCTTCTGCCGGGAGGCAGATGGGAAGCGTTTCGCAGCCAGCCGCACCAGCAGAAGAATGGCCAAAACACAGCTGACCTCGTGCTAGGATGCAATTGCTGAGCTTAGATTCCTAGTACCGTCTGCCGGGAGGCAGGCGGGAAGAGATTCGCAGCCAGCCTGCTGTGCTTAGATTCGCAGTACCTTCTGCCGGGAGGCAGATGGGAAGCGTTTCGCAGCCAGCCGCACCAGCAGAAGAATGGCCAAAAGACAGCTGACCTCGTGCTAGGATGCAATTGCTGAGCTTAGATTCCTAGTACTGTCTGCCGGGAGGCAGGCGAGAAGAGATTCGCAGCCAGCCTGCTGTGCTTAGATTCTCAGTACCTTCTGCCGGGAGGCAGATGGGAAGCGTTTCGCAGCCAGCCGCACCAGCAGAAGAATGGCCAAAAGACAGCTGACCTCGTGCTAGGATGCAATTGCTGAGCTTAGATTCCCAGTACCGTCTGCCGGGAGGCAGACGAGAAGAGATTCGCAGCCAGCCTGCTGCGCTTAGATTCCCAGTACCTTCTGCCGGGAGGCAGATGGGAAGCGTTTCGCAGCCAGCCGCACCAGCAGAAGAATGGCCAAAAGACAGCTGACCTCGTGCTAGGATGCAATCGCTGAGCTTAGATTCCTAGTACTGTCTGCCGGGAGGCAGGCGGGAAGAGATTCGCAGCCAGCCTGCTGCGCTTAGATTCTCAGTACCTTCTGCCGGGAGGCAGGTGGGAAGCGTTTCACAGCCAGCCGCACCAGCCAGAACAATGGCCAGAAGCCACCAGGCATGGTGCTAGGATGCAATTTCTGAGCCTAGATTGATGCAGGACGTGAAATCGACGCGAAAAAGTCTGCATTCCTTGCAGCTCTGCCACGCAAGCAAAAAGTTTGAGTGCAGCCACCCGAGAGCCGCTCACAAAATGCGTTTCACAGAATGGCTACATCGCTGTCAGCTCGCTGCACTGAAAAAGGAGCAAAAGAGCAATGCGAGTGCTGGATTGACCTCGAAACGTGAAGAAAACACAATCACGAAACAAAAAAGTGTCAGAGCTCCAGTCGTGCCACAGCGATCGAGTCATGTTGCTGCAGTAGCTTTTTCCCCAAACACAGCCGCCGTGCGCTTGGGCCCAAAATCAAGAATCAAGTTTAGGACCGTGCCCCCACTTCCACCTGGACAACCATCTCCAAGCGCAAACCTCAGTTGGTCGCTCTCTTCCAGTCGTTCAAGGCACGCGTGCTGGCTTTTCCTCAGGTCGACTGGTGCGACGGCCATATCCGAATCTATGGAAGAGGACCACTCCATTCAGGCTTCCGAACAGGATGACTACCAGGAACAAATCAAGGAGTACGAGCTCGAGCAGGCCATGCTGGAAGCAGAATTTGTCATGCACGAGTTGGCCAGGTGGGAGTCAGACCCGATCGAAAAAGCAATCATGATGCAAGACGCGCAGGACCAGAAAATGTTCCAGCAAGAAATGGAACTGGAGAAGCGGATGGCAAAGATGCAAGTGCAGTACCGAAACATGGACGGACAGATGCTGCACTGCTCGAGGCCATGCCCCATCGTACCAGAACGTTTCGGCTCGTATCGAGAGGCAGAACTAGCAGAACTGCACGCAAGAAACAACAACGAGTCGGACGTGACGCTTTCCCTACAGGAGCTGCGTTCAAGAAGAAAACGCACAGGAAAACCCACTCCAGCACAATTTCTTGAGAACCGCCCTCCAAGGGAAGTGCTTCTACACGACCTGGACGCTTCTCATGTGGGCCCAATACGCTTGGAAACGACCAAGCTAGTTTGTGGCAGCGACGTGATCACCGACGCCTGGGCTTGGCTCGACCTGCTGAATAGAGCCGATAACAATGACGTCGTCTGTGTACAAATCGTTTTCAGCACGCAAATTTGATCCGTTGTACAGGCTGAGCGTGAAAGACGCCGTCTGACTGCCGATTCACTGCTCCAAACAAACGCAGAAGAAAACCGTATCTGCACATATGAGGGCTCCTGCTGAGCAATGGCAAAACACACACTTAGCTTCTGCTGCGAAATCTTGCAACCTCCGTTGATCCGTTGTTGAACTTGTACAGCCTCCGCGCAGCTTGTGCTTGTCAATGAGTTGCACTGTAGACTGTAGACTGGTTCAGATTCAGCCGTTTAGCATTTGCCATGGCACCCTGCCAGCGATGCCGCGTGGGAAACAGGAGTGGACGAGGACAGGGATGGTGCAGCAACCCACAATGCCGCCAAGCCGAAAAGGAAGAGCGGTTCGCCCAGCAGAGCGCAGAGAAAAGAGCTCGGCAGCAAGAGCGAGCAGCACAAGGAGCAGGCAGCCGTGGACCTGTTTCTATTGCAATGAGCATGCGAGGAAAGAAGCGTGAGCTGCAGGCCAAGAGGGCGGAGGAGGGAGTGGGCAGCCGTGGACCCATGCCTGGCTCAGGGGGACGCCCAGAAGAAGCAGAAAGTGAACGGACACAGAGGCGCGAGCTGCAGGCTGAGAGGGCGGAGGAGGGAGTGGGCAGCCGTGGACCCATGCCTGGCTCAGGGGGACGCCCAGAAGAAGCAGAAAGTGAACGGACACAGAGGCGTGAGCTGCAGACCGAGAGGGCCAAGGAGGGAGTGGGCAGCCGTGGACCCATGCCTGGCTCAGGGGGACGCCCAGAAGAAGCAGAAAGTGAACGGACACAGAGGCGTGAGCTGCAGGCCGAGAGGGCCAAGGAGGGAGTGGGCAGCCGTGGACCCATGCCTGGCTCAGGGGGACGCCCAGAAGAAGCAGAAAGTGAACGGAAACAGAGGCGTGAGCTGCAGGCCGAGAGGGCCAAGGAGGGAGTGGGCAGCCGTGGGCCCAAGCCTGAGGAAGACAGCTATCGAACACACAGGCGCGAGCTGCAGGCCGAGAGGACCGAGGAGGGCATGGGTAGCCGCGGGCCAAAGCCTGTTGCAACAGAGCTCCAGCAGCAAGGCTATCCCTTTCCAGACGAGGATGTGCTGAGTCCCGAACGTGCACAGGCCGACTACCATGCCTTCACTCGAAGCTGGGGAAGGTTCGGATTGTCCAGGATATGTGAGGAATGCCGAATCTTCACGACAGGCAAGTACTGCAGACCGGCCAAATCGACAGGAAAGATGTTGTGCAAGGATTGTCGAGAAAAGATTGCCAAGATCCTCTTTCCGATCCTGCCACCCATCCCGGAGGCGCTCCAACATCTCCAGCCCATCGAGCAGCACCTGATCGCCATGGCCCGAATCTCCCAAGTGTTGCTCGACAAGCTACCTTCGGGCGGCCCGAGCGCTCAATGGGGCCGAATGTATGCAGTGCTGGTGGACGACCCCTTCATCTGCGACGTCCTGGAAGGAGCCACACTTGAGGAAGACGGCACCGTCCTGGTGGAAGGAGTGCAGGGCAAGACCGCTTCCCCAGCTCGTCTCGACTGCTTACACAAGGCCTTGCAAGAGCTGAAAACGCAGCACCGCCTCTACCAGGCAAACCCGGCAGTGGACAGAGCCTTGACAAGAATGGAAAGCATCCTGGCTGGAAAAGCGCAGCCATGCACAAGCGCAGCAGCAACGACAGCCCACGAAGCCTCCCAAGAGCGCCAAACGGGGGAGTCCGGTGGCTCACACTCCTCGGCCTTGGGGGGCGAAGCGCAACACTCGGAAGACGCAGTGGCCTCTGTTGAAACGATGGAAGAGAAGGAAGACAAGCTGCAGATGACGTACCTGATCCCCAAAGAGCTGAAAGCGCCCAGAGCGGAAACCGTGGAGCTACAGAAAGCCCGGGGCACGGCGGAGCTCACTGACGACATGGACGTGAAGTTCTTCCCACACCTATTTTCCACGGGCACAGGCGGATGGCAGAATGGATATGGCAGCTTCTCCCAGTACGCTCGCAAGCGTCTTCTCGGCTCGGACCCGCGTTTCGAGTCATCACCGGCCTACATCATGTGGCTTCTCGAAATGCACCTGAAGAAGCGTCTCTCCGGCAACATCAATGTGAGGATCGGCAACCAGCAGGCTCCAGGTGGGAAGACCAAATACCAAGAGGGCAAAGGTCAGGTGTTTACAGCCCTGAGGGACATCCCCGGCACCAGCTCATACGTCTACGCAAAGAAGAACGTTGCGCTGAACATGTATGAGCAACTGGGAGTGCCCAAGTTTTTCATGACGCTCTCCTGTCATGCCCGGCAACCCGACATCCTGATCGCAGTCATCACAGCCCGGCTCCTACGGCTGCATCCTGAGAGGCCGCCGGAAGAGCTTGAGCGCCAAGCCGCGGAGATACTGCAGTGCTATCAAGCCGACGTGAAATTCACGTGGGACGGCCTGTCGCCAAACCAGCTCTGCAATCAGCACCCTGCCATCGTAGCGCGACAGTTCATGCACCAGCTGACCCAGTTGATGTATTGGCTATCTGCCGAGCACGACGCCAAGACCCACCTTCACGAGGATGCAGATGCCGAGGATGAGCCGGAGAGAACGCCACACAAAGCAGAGGATGATTTCGTCCAGGCGCCAGCTACAGACTCTGCAGGCCAGCACCGCGGGGTCCGCAAGGAGCGCCCGCCGTTCAAGGTCGTGGATTACCTCATCCGCATCGAGTGGCAAAAGAGGGGCTATCCGCATGCTCACATCCTGCTCTGGGTGCTGGAATGGGAGAAGCCCAACCAAAAGGCGAAGGTCCCGTCCGAAAACGAGGAGACAGAAGCAAAGCCGCAAGGTCCCGACTGGTCGGATGAGGAGGCCATGGACAATTTCACCCCTACGTGTGCTGAGGACTGGAGCGATAAATACATCGTCACCAAAAGTCCGGGCAGTTGGCGCAAGTCCACGAAAGTTTCGTCCCGGGACAAGGAGCTCAACGCAAAACTGGCCGAATTCCTGGTGCACAAGCACACCGAATATTGCGGCATCAAGACGGACGGCGCTTGCCGTTTTGGATTTCCGCACGGCCCAGAAGAGCGGACCAGGCGCAGAAGCTCTCAGGAGAAGTACGCCAATAGCCGCTGGAAAAGCAGCCTCGCCACGAGACGGGTAGAGTCCGACAAGATGATGGGCCAGTACAACATCAAGATCCTCCGGCGGTGGCGGGCCAGCATGGACCTCCAAGTGATCTGCGAGTTGACAAGCGCCAGCCGCTACATTCTCGGCTACGCTTTGAAATCGGAGCAGGACCAGGAGGCGCAGCGGCGCATGGAGAGGATCGTTGCCAGCCTTACCTCCAGCAACGCAGATGGCGCCGGCCTCGGTAACCAGCAGATCTACAAGGCCGCGCACGCAGCGCTGCAGGGCAGGACCACATCCACTTTTGAAGCGTGCCACCTGCTGTTGGGATTCCCCATCGTCGAGTTCTCCAGAGACAACGAATGGATCCAAGTGGGACCTCCCGAGACGTGGACCCTGTCGGTGCCCAAGTCCGAGGAGAGCAGGGCCCTGCAACGACCGGACAGCTATCGTCGCAGCAAGCTGGATCGAGATGGATACATGCCCGCGGCGCAACGCTGGTACCGAGAGATGCAGAAGGCCTTCAGCGAGCAAGAGGTGGAAATTCCCGTGGAAGGTGGCATGCCCACGACGTGTCAATTCCGGGACGTGAACTTCCTGGACTTTTGCGCGGCCTTCAAGTACATTGGTGTAGATTTCCCGCAGCCACGGAAGCGCCCGGCCATAGTGGCCTACCGCAATTTCAGCCCCGACCAGGAGCCAGAAGCCTTTTACTACTCCAGACTGATGCTGTACACTGTGTGGAAAGATCCGGGAGATTGGCTGCGAGACGAGGACAATGGCAGTCACGCTGCAGCCTTTCGGCGCCTCGCCCAGGATGTCGGTGGCCACCCAGACTTCCTCCGGTCGAAGTGCTTCCCACAAATGGACGGAACCGTGAACGCTGCTCGGAAGTTGCAGGCCGTCCAAGCCGCCATGTACATGAGAGCACGGATGCATCCGGCACACTTGCGGGATGGCTGGGCCAATAGCAAGGTGGCCCAAGACAACTACGAGGACTCTTTGAAGATTCTCGAGGCACTGAAGGAGCGGCACGGGGACGACATAGACTTCGTGGCGCCAGACCACGTGCCAACAGGCGCGCCTGGCGACGCCTTCGCGCCGGTTGAGGAAGGCGAGGAATCCTTCGACCTGCTCACTGTGCAAAACCCGAGCCCAACAACAGAGCACCAATGCCGAGCCATGAAGTACATCATCCACTCCGCCTTGAAGCCAACCTCCAAGGATGCTCATGATCCCGATCGCCTCCACATGCTGTTGCATGGGCCAGGTGGTTGCGGCAAGTCTGTCGTGGTGCGGGCCGCGGCCCACATGATCCGACAGAGCGGCGTCGGGGTGATCATCGCGGCGCCCACTGGAGTGGCTGCCTGGAACATCAACGGGGTCACTCTGCACTCCTGCTGCCTGCTGCCCGTCGTCAACAAAAGCTATGGCAAAGCGTGCGACCTGCCGCTGCCAAGCGGCCCACAGCTTGCAGCGCTCCGGAACATCTGGAAGCTGGTCTCGGTGCTCTTTGTGGACGAAATGAGTTTCATTTCCTCATACATGCTTGAGCGCCTCGATCAGCATCTCCGTCTGGCCAAAGATGTACCCTACATTCCGTTCGGAGGCGTGCACCTTGTCCTGTCTGGGGACCTGTATCAGTTGCCACCACCAGGAGGCTTGCCCTCCTTCGCCAGTCATTTGTGGCTGCTGTTTCAACTCTGCGAGCTCGAGGGGAACCAGCGTGCTTCAGAAGATCCCAGATGGGCAGCCCTGTTGGCGCGAATTCGCGTTGGAAAGTGGACGGAGCAAGACATTCAGGAGCTGCGCGGCATGGAGGTCAAGAAGAACGACAGTAGGCAGCCCGCTCCCAAGGCAGTGTTTCTGTACCCCACTCGCCATGCGGTCGCAGAAAGCAATCGCTGCTACATTGAGGAGCACATCGCAAAGACTGGCGCAAAGCTTTATGAGTGCCCGGCACTGGACACCAACGTCAAGACCGGCGCACCACTGCCCACGGAAGTGGTCTGGGCCGACCCAGAGAACACGGGTGGCTTGGAGGCGTTGCTGAAGGTCGCGGTCGGCGTCCGAGTCATGCTCAGGCATAACATCGACGTGCAGGACGGCCTGGTGAACGGAGCCTGCGGCTTCGTGGAACAAATTGACGCGGACGAGGAAACTGGAGAGGTTGAGGACATTTGGGTCGCTTTCGAGAAGAAGGCAGGGGCCAAGTGGTGCGCAGAGAACGAGACCAGCTTCGTCGCCGTCTCGCGACGATCGGCCACTTATCTAGACATGGACGGAAGCAAGGCGTCGAGACTCCAATTTCCTCTCGTTCTTGCGAAAGCCACCTCCATCCACAAAAGCCAAGCGGCCACCCTACGCGATGGCGCCCACTCCCGTCTGGATGCCACTTGCAGTCAAGAGGGTCAGGCCTACGTAGCTTTGAGCCGCTGCCCAGAGCAAGCCCTCTGCACCTTCGAGCTCTTCAATCCAAAAGCGCTGCGCTACAATGCCAACGCGGAATGGGCGTTGACCAAGCTAAAGGCTCAGCAAGCCGGCCGAGATGGCCCGGAGCTGTGGAAGGATCTCTTTCGACCGCCAGAGAGCAAGAACTTTTACGAAACGCAGCTGGCCAACATGGGCGCTCCAGATTGGTCGCGACTGAGGAAGCTCCAGGAGCAAGAGGGCGAGTTACCTTGGCGCTGCCCGAAATGTGGTCAGGAGGCACCAGATACCAAAGAGGCCAAGAAGCAGCACCGGCAGAAGTGCCCCGCCAAACCCACGCCTAAAGCCAATGCCCAAAGCAAGCGGCAACCCAAGACCAAGGCAAAAACCCAAGCCACAACCAGCGCAAAGGCCAAGAGCAAAGGCAAGCGCGAGGGCAAGGGAAATGCGAAGAGCACCGGCAAGCGGGCGGCAGCTGAATCCCAATCTAGCGCTACGCCAGCCAAGGTTCCACGGACGAGCAATCAGCCCGCAGCCCCGGCACCATGCCCGCAAGGCAACCTCCCATATTTCGAGCGCCAAGAACGTGCTCTCTGTGGCATCCACGCGTTGAATCACGTTTTAGGCGAGGCCTTCTTCACCGAGACCGACATGGAGGAGGCCGTGCAGATCCTTCTCCAAGAAGGTGGCGAAGAACGGGGTGAACAGGCGCAAGACCACATGGCCGCAGATGGCTACTACTCCTCCGAAGTACTGGCTCAGGTCATTCAATCCAAGGCCCTGGCTGTCCATGACCGTGTTCGATGGGAGATGGTGCTGCAGCCCGTCACGACCAAGCACGAACTAGAAGCAGCCATAGGCCTGGTGCAGAACCGGGACAATGCTCACTGGGTGGCCTACCGCTTCTTCAATGACACCATCTTCCATCTGGATTCCTTGGCACGCACTCCGGAGCAACTGACAGACCAAGCCTTCTTGCAAGAGCTCCGACGATTTCCCAACACGTTCGCAATCCGAGAAGTATAGGCTGGCAGGGCGCAAGGGTTCAAAGCATGCAACACAGTAATTAATACGAAAGCAGCAACACGTGTGCCAACCGCACTCTGCCAGGCTCCGCAGCTGCACTTCGTGTTTCACCACACGTGTACATATTCAATCTCGGGGCCTCGAACATCCAGACTGCCAGCGTGCGCCAGCTGCGGAATGAAAAAGCAGGCAAGCCGTTTTGCAGAGCACTTCCATGCAAGCTTCCTAAAGCCGAAAGTTTACTACCGCGGGCTCTTGGCAGCAAACCTTGCACAACTGACCTGTCGTCTTGGCTCAAAAAGAAGCGAGTCACACGTTCCAAGCCGCCAAAGACTTTTAGAGCACCCACAATTGCGAGACTGCCC